TAAAAGACTTTTGTAATAGCGGAATTACTGAAAATATTTGCAGTATGTGATGAGGATATGTATGGGCAGGACTGCTCCAAGCAATGCACCTGTATGTATAATGGAGAATACGGAATCGTAAGTGCATGCTATTTCGTGTGTAGGGACCTCGAAGCTCAACATTTTTCTTACAGATGTGCTCCTGACACCGGCTATTGTCGATGCAAACCTGGTTTCGCTGGGGATTCATGTGAACGTATTTGCTCTAAGCTGTTCTGGGGTGAGTTTAGGCTCTTTCACGTGTCTGCTTAAGGCAAACATTTATACCTCGCCGTCAGTTAGAAGATCGTAGACACAAGAAACGGATCAGGTACAAATCGATTTTCTCGACACGATGACACGGTCCAGAAGGAGAGTCGACGAAAAGAGCCACAGAGTCCATGGGAAAGAACGAATGTTACCCGCATTTTCCAAGCAGTTCGGCGACTGGGGGGGCATTTCGCACTTTTGCTAATCCCATCGACGGCCGACCCATCTGTACAGCTGTTTCATGAGCTTACAAGGTTAACAGGTTTTACGATGCGCCTACGAGCTTGTTCCAGCTTCACAAGAGTTCACGGGTTTCATCGGAGTGAGACTTGTGAACGGAACTAGTGAAGCAGCGGGAGCGCATAATGTCCCTGCTAGCCATCGCCGAAGCGCCGAATTCCTATCCTTGAACTCGAGACTAAGACCTCTTCCGATTATATCAAGTTCTTTCCGCTAATTCTCCTATTCACCACTTGGGCGGAGTCGATGGGATCAATACTCGGCTCAATCGCTTACTGGCGGACTCTAAGCATGTGAAGACCACCTGTAGGACCTTTGGTTCCTTGTATCAAAGTATCTCGCTTGTATAATATCTGAGCTTCAAAAGAGTTTACTTGTCCACCAATGTGATACCTGTTACTTAACATGAACTAGCACAAGAAACTAGCGAAAGTGTAAACTGCCCCTTCCAAGCCAGCCAAACAGCGCTCGATACGTATCGAATCCTTTATGCGGGACCTCCAGTTCTTCAGCGTCATAATTCAGAACGTGGCCGAGGGGTTTCACTCATAAGTTGTTTTGTCCATCTACCTTCTGGATGAAAAACATATTTATCTGGTGGTGTCACACTGTCGTAACTCTTCACCCTATTCAGGACGAGACTGTGCGAACAAATGCGAGTGCGACTATAACGTGACGTCAGAGTGCGAGCCAACAAGCGGTAGATTGTGTTGTTTACCGGGTCGAACCGGAGCAAAGTGAGTTTTTTTTTTCCGGCCGGCCAACGTGGTATCGAGAGGGGACACATGGACTCACCTGTCAGCTTGGACTTTGAATTTATGGTTTGACAGGCTTCCATCGCGTAATGGTGGGGGGGGGGGCTTAAATTCATCTTTGATGAGTGTAATAGCTCCGAAAATGTCCTCTCTAATAAGGAGGGGACCAGAAGGTGTCCCAGATATAAGGAAAAAACCCTCAAGCCAACCGTCTCCACTCCCCGTTTTCCAACAAAGATCCCGAGGTAGTAGAACTCACTTATGGAAAAGAGAGCAACAGATAGGCTTGCTACAGTTGTTGCGCTATTTACATTTAGTTTTTTTTTCATCAAAAATGAAAAATAAATTGAAATCCCAGCCTGGGAAGATGAGGGGGGTTAGGGCTAGCAGTGCAGTTCAAACACCTTTTCCTTTGTTCAACCCACTCCCTTACACTACAGATTAGCGACCCTTCAAAATACAGACCTATGCTGAAAGAGCATATAACTACAGGACAGTAGTGGGAAAGGTGGTCTGAGCGGCACGTGGACAGCTTTCATCGGTTTACAGTTTTTCTTAAAATAATTCCGCTCCTATTAACACCATATGTTCATAATGTGCGATGACTGTCCTGATGGCCATTTTGGACTGGACTGTGCCTTCAAGTGTCAGTGTGGAGAGAACGGTGTATGCGACAAAAGAGATGGTTCATGCAAATGCCGTAATGGTGAGTTCAAATGTCTCCTGTTAAAAATTCAAGGATAATTTTTATCCTGATTATATTGAAACTTGGGTATAAGTGAGAAGAGTCGAAGTTGCGCAGTCCCAACCAATAAGGTTTTTTTTCTAAAAACCGACACGACTCCCTCGCTCACCGACCAGATTACGACCCCCCACCTCGGGGGTCCCTAACATTCGACATGCCGTGATCGTGACATTCACGATAAAACAATGGGGGATACGTTTGGCTTTAGGACGAGAGGGCCTAATAGGAGGCCTAAGCACTTTTTCCACAATGAGACTGGCCGGGATATTTTTGGAGATATTATATGACCATTCTATGAACCCTAATGTCGGCGAACCCTGGTTGTACTGATCACTATCCAAGCTAAAATTCAACCAAGCAAGGTCTAGAGGTTGCTCTGGGGTTTTGAGAGAATTCTATTAAACTGCGATCTTAAAATTTCTTCCTTCAAGTATTATTGTACATTCACATATTGATGGGTCTGGATATTTTGATGAATTTCAGGCTTCCACGGTGCTCTCTGCACGATATCATGTCCAGCTGGTCACTTTGGTGAATCCTGTGCTCCCTGTCAGTGTAGGAATGGCGCTGGATGTGATCCAGTCACTGGCGATTGCTTCTGTGCTACAGGTATGTGTTGTTCTTTTAGTTCAAAGCTGTTCTATGTAACTTTCCCATCACTATCGTTTTGTTCCGTTGATTAGCATCACAAGTTACTCATTAGTAAGCGAATAACTTGAAGGCGCGCTTTGAGCTGACTGTATGAGCAGAATCAGGGCTTCTTTTTATCCCACCTCATTGGCGCGCTCCTTCTCTATACCACTTTGAAATGAGGGCTCAGTGGGGATCACAGTCGTTCTCTGTCTCCGCCCACACAATCAGCGCGCAATGTCCCTTAACATAAGGTGTCTACATTTTCAAAAGCTATAAGGGGAGGATTCAATGGTGGACATCACCTATCAGCTTTTGAACGTTTTTATACCACACTGATTACGAGACGTTTCTCTGCGAATACTCATCGTGGCTGTCCTCTGATTTTTCATATTTTCAGGATGGACCGGACCTAAATGTGACACACCGTGCGCTGCTGCACTACGGACCACATTGTTTCCACTCGATGTCGTTCGCAAAAAACGGTGGGATGCGACCGATTTCAGGTGTGCGAATGCCGCTGCCCTCCGGGTTCAAAGGTATGATTAGCAATTGCGAAAGCCTCTAAGAATCTGAAATGGTGATTTGAGCGATCGTTGCTTCCAACGACTTGTCGGAGATGCGAAGGTAGTGTAACGAGAAATGACACTGCCTTTAATGCGCGCGGGCGGAGTCGATCTCCGGATCGGCTCTTGCTCAAACCAGTCAGAAATTAATTTCCGAGGGGTGATAAAATGCGGAGGGAGCAAACCTCACAGATACTGGCAGACCTCAGCAATTAGATAAGATAAGTAGGCTCAGAAGCGCGCTTAGGATTCTGAGCTTAGGGAGTAGTATGAGGGAGGCGTACAGCAAACAGAAGGGGAATGATTTCACCTACGGATTCTTCAAATAGCTTGGTTCGTTCTTGATCTGCTACATAAGTCATACGACGGACTTCTGAGGCCTGGAAGCTTGTGAGGATGGGCGAGAGTAGGGCCTACTGTAGGTGATCTGCAGCACATCTAGCTGCCTCAGATTCTGGTTTAATGACACACTGGAAAGGGTTCCTGATGTGATGATGTGATGCTTCGTAAGAAATTTTCCCTTTTCAGGCGAGGATTGTTCTACACAGTGCGAGAACGGTTTTCTATGGAGATGAGTGTGACAAGAAATGCGATTGCAATGGTGGAAGTTGCCAACAGAAGACTGGAAAATGCGTCTGTGGACCTGGAAAGGAAGGCGATACGTGCGCGTCAGGTTAGGCTCTGATAATGTGTGTTGATGACTTTAGAAGTTCATTCAAAAAATGTTCGTAGGCGGAGTCACTTGCAGCACTGCCATTTTTGGTTGGTGAAGCCCCTCAAATGATGTGAAAGAGAAAAAGTTTTACCACGATTCAAAGTGACTCCGCCCTTATGATCATCGTGGAATGTGCTCTGAAACAGGTCTTTACAGAATGTAAGCTTGGCCACTTTGGCTTTGGATGCGGTGAGACATGCAGCAATTGCACGCTGGATGGTGTTCCATCAGCATGTGACAGTAAGACTGGAGCATGCCTGAAGTGTCCGATTGGGAGGTGAGCTAAACTTTGTCATGAAACTGTAAGTATCATGATTTGAGTTTCCTGAAATTTCGATTTGCCGAGAGATGGCGTGTCATTGACGACATATAACACGTTAATGACGATCAGATCCACACGTCATTGTAAGTGACGTCCTACGGTACGTCAACACCGTTTTACGTGACGTCACTGGCACGTCACCTATCACTTAGGAGATCTGGCCCTTCTACCTGCGCTGCATTAGCGCTCACGCTAAATCGTTTCCAGATCTGGAGCGAACTGTCAGCACAGCTGCGAAGATGGCACATGGGGTGAGAACTGCGCTAACAAGTGCACGTGCGCGGACGGTCATAAGTACGTATTTATGCATAATCTCTCCCAGTTGTAACTCTATACTAATGCCCCTCCCATATGGGCTCTTCAAGGAATGCTTACAGGTGCGATCCCGTAACCGGCAAATGTAGCTGTGACCATGGATACACTGGAGAGAACTGCGAGCAAAGTAAGTGAATGTTTCGCTGAGAGTCTTCTGTTCGAAATATGGACCAAGTTTCTTTGATGACGATTTTTTCCAGAATGCCCTGAAGGAACGTGGGGAGTTGAATGTGCGAACAAATGTCCGGCTTGCGTCAATGGGGCCAAATGTAACCATGTGGACGGTACCTGTTCCTGTCCGGCTGGATATGAAGGACGTCTTTGTAACAGATGTGAGTGCCACAGGGGATGAGTGAATTCGATGAATTCATGTCGTGTCTACAGATGTGAGTGCCACAGAAGTAATTTATGAATGTCATTCTCTTACTAAGCTAAGCTACTTCCTTGAGTCACCCCTCTAAATAGAAAAGTACAGTAAAGAAACTAACAATCAAAATACTATATAAAAATTTTATTAAAATCTTATTATTTACCTTGTAGAGTATAGCCATCACCTTTTCAGAAGCCTGCTCACAATGAGACATTCTCGAACCATTGCCCAAAGTACATTCCCACGCTTGTTACACGGGCGGAGTGAAGCTTATGATGTCTCCTCTTTCCACACGCGGCGCGCCTCTTTTCACCACCTTTGTCGATTTCACGCGGCAATGAGGCAGACGCGCTGATGTCTGAGCATGCCTATACGATAAGCGTGGACTGGCCCTCCAATCTTGCCAATTTCGAGTGAGCGATGTCTTATTAATGGGAACCGCCACAAAACGCCTTTTGACCAGCCTGCAGGAAAAAATGGGACAGATCTCCATAGGTGCCAGGAATCGTAATCGTGCTCACTTGGGATGTAGTTATTTAAAGAAATCGTGGTCATCGTAATCTCCAAGTCCATAGCGGTCATGAGGGCGGGGCAAGACCTATAATTACGCCTTCCTGATTGGCGCAGACATTGTTCGACGTATTAGAATGAAGTGGCGATGGCGGAACGCAGATTTGACTCCACCCTTTTAAACAGACAGTCGCCGTGGACTGTACCCTCAAAATAAGTATTGGCGCCACCCATCTAAGTGTTGTTCTTGGCTTGGGTTATTTATTTCCGAGGTTTTGCAAATCGACTTGTTTTCCAGTATGTGTTGCCGGTTTCTGGGGATTGGGCTGTGCGAGAAACTGCACTTGTGCCTCAGAATTCAAGCAATGCGATCCTCACACTGGCGAGTGTGCCTGTCCTGCTGGTAAGTTTTACCAGTATAACAGCTATTCCTACACACCAATGATTCTTTCCAGGTTGGCAAGGTGATCGCTGTAATGTACCGTGCGAAGACGGTTTCTATGGTCCGGATTGTATCAACAAATGCAAATGTCGAGGCACATCGTCAGCAAGCTGTCATCGCGTCACTGGTGCCTGCCAGTGCCATCCTGGTTTCACTGGAGAATTCTGTCATGCTCGTAAGTGGAGAAACGATTTCCTCCTTCAATTGAACGCTAACCCAAATGTCTGTTTCAGTATGTCCCAAGGGTCACTATGGCCTGCGATGTGCTCGAGAATGTGGTGATTGTGGCGTGGGCTACGAGTGTGATGCAGCTATAGGCTGCTGTCATGCGGACCAGTTGAGCTGTGGACAAGCATGTGAGCAAGTTTTCAAGAGCCTTTCTTGCTTCTACCTCCTGGGTAATGATTTTCGTTCCAGTACTTGAATTCCAACGGCAACAGGGTGAAGGGTGGATCACGTGCGGGTGATCCAAATTTGGTGGCTCGCTCTGGTCGTCTTTGGATTAGCATCAGTGCTGCTTGTCTCGATGATGCTTTACTATCGACGAAAATACTTCCGCGAAAAGGAACCCGATGTTCCGACCGTTGTGTAAGCTTTACAATACACTAGTGCTGTTATCGGTATGGGGCGGCGCCAGCTCAGTTTCCACCT